GCGGCCATGGCTCACGGGCCCAGCCGCTCCGCGGCATGTGGGATCTTCCCGGACCGGGGCACGAACCCGTGTCCCCTGCATCGGCAGGCGGACTCTCAAGCACTGCGCCACCAGGGAAGCCCTCACCTACTTTTTAGAGGGCACAGCCAAATGAAATTCTCATGCACTTGGGTCCATGACCCTCACTCAGTGTTAGTTCTGGAAGCTTCTGTGCCAAAAAGAAAAGCTTACTAAAACTGAGATAGACTCTTTAACACTTGGTAAATATACTGAGAACTAGATAGGATTTAGGGACTGGGGAACGAAATACTCCCCCACCCTCACCCAGCTAGGCTCCTGTGGCTGATGTACTGCAGATCAAGGCTTATTGTTACCCCTTAATTCATGTGACTTTACCTCCTCTTTGCTAATGATGGAGGGGCTGCTGACAGAACGTGGCTGAGGGGGCATGTCCACGTGAGGCCCAGACTGCTGAGTGAAGGGCCAAGGTCGAGCTGAGCCGAGGAGCAGCCATGGTGAAAAACTGTGCGCATCTTCAGGTGTGAGATGGGAAGGACCTCGGATCGTTGAGGGCTTTGGCGTTGCTTCCTGTGGGCACCCCCAGATAACAGCGAGACCAGTGTCCCTCCTTTGCACGTGCCTGTACCTCCACCTGGCGAAAATACCATTTGTTGAGAGCTGTGCCCAGGACCGTGCCCGGCATTGTGAACACCCTTTCAGTCATTCCTCCAAACTGCTCTTGGAGGAATTCCACAGATCACCCCGTGCCATGGATGAGGGGCACTGGTGAAGGTTAGGGCAGCCGCAAGTCAAAACCCAGGCTACCTGGCTCCCAGCGGCACTCTGTTTGCCCCAGAACCCTCAGCCTGAGTTCATCTCCAACCCCCTTTCAAAGAAGCCCTGGTCCCTGTCTGTGGTGGACGCCATGGCCTCTGGGCTCCCAGCTAGGCAGCCTCTCTGGCTCTTAGAAGAGAGCATCTCCTGGTCCTGGATCTGGCTCTCCAGGACTCCCACTGCCAGCAGTGTTTCAGCTCCTAGATCTGGCCCCTGCGGCCTGCCGTCACTGCCCTGCCAGGCTCCAGCGTGGGAGCTGTCACCGCACCGGAACCTCCAGTGACTCCCTGCTTGTACCCGGTAAAACCCGAAGCCCCAGCCCCGACCTACTTTCCCAGCCTCTTGCCTCCCTCTTGGAGGTTTTCATTTCCAAAGCTTCCCTGTCCTTGAATTGCCAGGTTTATTCATTCCGCTGAGCACCAATGATGTGTCACGCCCTGTTTCAGGTGCTGATGGAACCGCACTAACTAAGGGTACTAGGATTACATCTAGTAGAGGAGATGGCAAGAGATGATAAAAGATAAGTATGGGGGGGTGCTGTGAAAGAAAAGAGAGGAAGGGGCTGGGGAGGGAGGGCAGCCTCAGGGCAGGAGGCCCCAAGGAAGGGCGTGCTTGCCTGGCTGGAAGCGACCTGCAAGCTGCCTCTTTTCCGTCGCCTTCTGCAACGTGTTGCTTATGTACTGGATCCCCCGAGTGTCCCCGGAGCTGGTGGCCAGAGACCCTCTCCAGCTCTGCCCACCACTCCCCCGCACCCCAGGCTCTGCCATGGCGAGTTCAGGCTCTGGTCCCAGGTCCCACGCTGGCTCGCACCTCCGGCTTTGGAGCAGCTCGGCCGTGGGGGGGGCCGCGGGTGGGGCGGGGGTCGCGTCCGGGCTGGTGGGGACAGGTGCGCGCGTGCGCGGCGTTGAGGTGCCAGGACCCCGGAAGCCAGCTCCCCTGGAGACGCCTGGCCGTTTCGGGAGCCCGAGTGCCGTGGGAAGCTTAGGGGCCCTCCGCCTCGGCACCCCATGGCCCCCATGCCCGCCGCGGGCCAGGGGGAGGGGACACGGTGGTTGGAAAGGCCTTGGCATTCGACCAACACGAAGGGCACATGACCTTGGGCCTGTTGACCTTGGGCCTCAGGAGCTTCGTCTTCCTGGATGGAAGATGGGAGGCCTGCTCCACCGTGAGGGGCCGGCAGGGGGACCAGGGGCCAGCCTCGGAGTCCAGGAGGAGGAGGCACCCGCCCTCCAGGGACCAAAGGCAGGAGGGGAGTGGGCGCTCGGCTGGCCCCCAGGAGAGGCCGGGAGGGCGGTCGGGGGGGCGTCGGGGGGTCATCTGAGCGGGCCTGGGGCTGGGAGGGCTCCTGGCACACGCCCAGACCAGGGAGAGGGCGGTGCCTCCCCGTGGAGGGTGGGGCAGGGGGAGCAGCGGCCCCAGGAGGCCTGGCCACCTCGGCTGAAGTCAGGACCTGTATCGGGAGGGTGGGAGACGCTGAGGCTTCAGTGAGGGGGGCGTGGGAGCCCCCCAGGCCAGCGCTGCTTTGTCTCCGTCACCCTCCTTCCGTGGGCCAGGGGCTGGGCTGCTCATCTTCCCTGCCCCCCAGCCCCGCTCTGCTGCAGTCACCCCCTTCTAGTGCCAGGCCACGGGCTCCCCACCACCCCTGGTGACCTCAGCATTTGTCCTAGGATGGCCCACCCCCGTCTGGCCTGTCTGTTCCTTGGCTTCTTCCTCCTGATGACCCCAGCCCTGAATGCCACTGCCATGGCTGCCCCCAAATTGCCTTGTCTTCACTGACACCCGCCCCCTCCAGTCTGTCCCTGGGCGTCCTGCTCTGATTGCCACTCCTGCCTCAGCCTGCAGGCTGCCAGCAGATCACCCGTCGCCATTCGGCCACTCAGCCCCATGTCCCGGCTTCACTCTCCTGCATCCTTGCCTTCCCTCCCTCTGCATAGGCTCAGCTCCCAGCAGCCTTAGCTAGTGTGCCCTGGTCACGGTGGACACTGCCTCCCCCACGGAGCCCGGGTGGGTGCCATGAGGTCAGGGTCTGGGTACCAACGCAGCAAGGGAGTTGAGACCAAGGCTCACACAGAGTGGGTGCTGGCCTGTCCCAGGCTCCTCTGCTACTCGAACTGCCACTCCAACCGCAGAACTTGACGAGTCGGCCGCCAGGAGTCGGTGGGGCGGGTAGGGTGGGAGCCCGGGCTGATCCTGGTTCTTGTGAAGCTCCCGCCGGTGGGTGGAGGACGGCCGGTCGCCGTGAGGGCTGTGGGCCCACAGGGCCTGGGGCTCTGGCCTTGTGACCCTGGACAGGGCCCCCCGCCCCCCACCGGTGTCCTCTGTTGGGCTCTTGGGAGTATTAAAGGGTGTGTGTGTGCAAAGGGCTGATCCGTCGTTCCTGCAGTCACAGGAGCCCGCCCCCCATGGGGGAGCCATGAAGGCCCCAGCTCTGTGTGGGGCGAGGGGCTTTTGACCAGGAGAATTGATTACGTCAGTGAAGGCGGGCCAGGTCGGGCCAGTGAGGACGGTGTCAGGAGGAGGGGCATGCTTTGTTCACTCCCTGTGCCTGGGGCCCAAAGGGATAAAAAAGGAAAAGGAGAGAGGCGTGAAGGGGCACGGGGAAGAGGACACACTTCCCCACGGCCGGCCTCCCGTGCTGCAGAAATCGGGGAAAACGGTTGGTGGGTTGACTCGGGGTTTCCCTCAAACTGCATGGGGGCTTCACCTGTCTCCCTTCATTCCCCAGTGGCCCTGCCCACCTGCCACTGGCACCCTCCCTTCCCAGCCTGGAACTGCCCTTTGGCTCAGATGCCCCCACCCAGGCTTGCCTCCTCTTGCCCAGTGTAGCCCACTCACCTCACAGCCTCCTGGGGGGGGTCTTTAAGGCATGACCCAGATCACCCCCCACCCCGGGCAAATCCTGCCAGCTCCTTACCGGGTCGTGATGCATTTGGCTACAAATGACAGAGAAACCAAGGAAGAGTGTGTGACTGGCCTTCCCCAGGCCAAGCTGGTTCAGTGGCCCACCAAGGCCACGGGGCCAGCTCTATCCCCACTGCACCTGCAGGCATCCTGTCCCCATTTCATCAGTAAAAGGGGGCAGGGTCAGAGGGCAAGGGATGTGTCACAGCTGCGTGTGTCCCTTTCACAAAGCTTTCTCAGAAGCCCCAGCCACAGCTTTCATCTCACTGGCAGGATCTGGGACCCATGGCCACCTCTAGCTGCAAGGGAGTCTGGAATGGTGTTTTTTTTGTTTGTTTGTTTGTTTGTTTTTCTGGACACACTGAAGCACAGAACAAACTGGGATTCTAGGTACCTGGGAGCGTCTGCCACGCCACCCTTCCTTCCCGTCCTCCCTCCCAGGCCTTGGCTAAATCTGCCCCCTCAGCTCCAGCCTCACTGTCCCTCTGTGGCCTGGTCAGCTGTTGTCCTTCCTCCAAGACTGTTCAGCTGTCCCCATCTATTTACTGTCCCAAGCGTAGCTGAAAGAATAAAGTAAGGAATGCTCACCCGATGAAAGGCCATGCAACTGTTCACAAAAACATGGCCAACTGGAACACACTGATAAGGAAAGGTGTCTGCTGTGGGTTGAATTGAGTCCCCTGAACAGATGTGTTGAGGTTCTTAACCCAGGTGCCTGTGAATGTGACCTTATTTGTAAACGGTCTTTGCAGGTGTTATTAGTTAGGTCATCCAGGAGTAGGTGGGCCCTTAAGCCAACGCCTGGTGTCCTTATAAAAAGAGAAGACGGAATTCCCTGGCCGTCCAGTGGTTAGGATGCCCGCTTTCACTGCTGGGGGCCCAGGTTCAATCCCTGGTTGGGGAACTAAGATCCTGCAAGCCGTGCAGTTCCGGGGTGGGGCTGGGGAGAGAAGACGGAGACCCACAGGGGAAAAGGGCACATGAAGACAGAGGCAGACACTGGAGGAGCAATGTGCTTACAAGCCAAGGATTGCTGGCCACCAGGTGCTGGAAGAGGCCAGGAAAGATTCTCCCTCAGAACCTCCAGAAGGAACCAACACTGCTGACACCTGAATTTCACACTTCTGGCCTCCAGAACTTAAGAGGATAAATGTCTGTTGTTTTAGCCACACAATCTGTGGGCCGTTGTTATGGCAGCCCTGGGAAACTGCTACAATCTCCAAGATAATTGTCAACTGAAAAAAGCAAAGAACAGAACGGTCAGTACCTGGGCCGTGCTTTGCGGGAGCGTGGATGTTCCCACGTGCTGGGACTCGCCTGGGATGTGCCGGGAGGGGTGCACGGCTGGGAGGAGGCGGGGACCCGGTTTTTCTCTTCGCAGCATAGCCTGGGTTCCGTTTGCATTTTTTACTTTGTACCATGTTAATATAGTATTCATTGCAAATAAAACAAGTAAAAATTCAAATCAGGGAGAAAATAAAATGTCAAAAAAAATCCACACAAACCCTACACCTCTCCCAACCCCTCCTCCCGCCTGAGTTTTTGGTAACGGTTAACCATCGCAGCATGGATGGGAGTGGGGGACCCTGGGCTTTAGCAATTGCCTGGTTTCTTTCAGAGGGAAGAGAAGTGAGAGAGAGGCCAGAGGAACCTCACGGGGGAAGGAGCTGCTGCCTGGGACCCGGGGGTCAGGGGGAACACCGCTGGGTTAACAGAGCCTGTGACGTGTCTGAGGACACCCTGCCCGGGGTCACCAGCCAGCCCCTTCCCACCCTCCTGTCCCCGGAAGCTGCAGACAAGCCTGACGTCACAGGCTGATGCTGGGGATTCAACGGGGTGTGAAGGCACAGGAGAGCTGGCCCCCTCCTGGAGCGGAAGCTGGGCCCTCTCTCCTGCCCTCCTCTGCAGGCGGGCGGGGGCTTCTGGCTCAGCAGTTGGAAGGAGAGTCCAGGCTGGTAGCTGTGGAGACTCAGCGTGTCCAGGATTGACTGCAGGAGGCTGGGCAGAAGTGGGGGTGGGCAGACATGAAGACACTCCTTTGGCAAGCGAGGCTTCCTCCAGTAAGCCCTCTCGGACCACTTAGGTTGGGCTAGGTCTAACCTCAGAGGGACAGGTCCATTCGCCCTTCAGAGCTCCACTCAGACCTCCCCTCCTCCGGGAGGCCGAGTCTGGCCTCAGCTAGTGTCCCCTGAGCCCTCCCACCTCAGTACTTGCAGAGAGCTCCTAGCACAGGCCGCCTGCCCTGCCCAGCGGGAGGATGGGCGGGAACCAGGCCTCCCATCACCCGGTCACAACAGTCACGGAGGAGCGCTTGCTGCCCGGCTGAGACTGTGCTCAGCATGTTTGTGAGCTGTACTCCCTTAATCCTCACGCCTCCATTAGCCCCATCTTGTAGATGAGGAAACCGAGGGTCTGGAGGTACCCCGTAGCTGGCCCAGGTCAGGCAGACCACCACCATGCTGGCCCCTCTGACTCCAGTGTCGGGGTGGGACCGAGACCTCTTCCTCTATGATACACAAAGCCCCGCTGTCTTAAAAAAACAAAGAACACTTTATTCCCTTGGTGGTTTCTGTACAACAATGATGCCACGTGTACAAGGTGGGAGTCCTGTCCTTCCTTGAGCACAGCCTGCCTCCTGGGAGGGTTTATCACTTTGCCCAAGAGGCTGAGCGCCACTCGGGGCAAAGGAGGCCACAGTCACCTCCAACTTGTGCAGAAGCATCCTCCTCCCCGCCCATTCTCACGGCCATGATGCACTGGATGCGCCCGGGCTGCCCTGAGCTCACACCACAGCCCCGCTTCTAGTGACAGCCCCTGGAGCGTGGGCTCAGATGCCCTTCGGCCTGGAAGGGCCCAAACTGGCGGTACCTGTGCCCACTTACAGGCCCTGCGATGATTCACAGGGACACGAAGCATTGAGGTTGCCTGGGAAAGACACCATTTCCTGGGGAACCCTGGTATTGGTTCCTGGCCGTTGGTAGTGGGCCAGAGCCCCAGACATCCGCTGACACACGTCCCCATTTTACAGATGGGCAGCCTGAAAGCCCAGAGGGTGAAAAGACTTCTCCTTGCCATGGCTGTATTTACCTGTTGAGATCTCCCCTCCCGCTGACCTGTGCCCACTCCCCCACCCCGGCCCCTAGGCCAATACGGAGCTTCCAGAAGGTCTCATGGCTTCTTAGTGGTCCCCCAGATTACCCTCCAGTGGGAGCGTCAGGGGTAAGGGTATTCCCAGCCTTGCCACATGGAGAAGCTGGGGTGCACTAGCAGAGGATTCAGCTCTATGACACCAGGAGCCCCTGAGCTGCCTCTCTGTCCCTAACACAGACTGGACAGGTGGCCAAGAAGTGTCCCGAGAGCTCCGCCAGGTGGAGGATTTGCAGCGTTACCGAGTCGCTGGCAAGCTCATGGGTGGGTCATCAGAGACCCCATGGTGGTGTGGCTGGGATCCCAGGAAAGGGCTGGCGTGTTTCTAGAAGACTCCAAGTTAACAGTGCCAGGCTGGGCGCCGCAGGGGCATCATCTCTGAGCTTCCTGACTGTACAACGTGGGCATGAGGATCCCCATTTCACAGAGGAGAAAACCGAGGATGTCAAATTTGTGGCCAGGGTCACCCAGCTTGGGCGTGGAATTCAAGCCAGGTCTGATGGAGTCCACAGCCCACGGGGTCTGGGAGTCCGGTGCAGGGCAGTCGGCGTCGGGGGCCCAATTTATGTCTAGGCTGCGTTTTGGAAAAGCGGCCTCGGGAGAGGTCGGGCCCTCGGGTGCCGGGGGCCCCGGGTGTCACAGGCTGGAGGGCTGGGCTAAGGCGGGCCCCGCCGGGGCGGCGGGCACGGCATCGCCCTCGGGCCGGGCCTCCTCGCCGCGCGCGTAGCTGAGCACCACGGTGACGGTGGCGAAGGTGGCGGCGTTGACGGGGAAGGCGCGCAGCAGCGTGGAGGCCAGCCCGCGCGTGAAGACGCGCCAGCCCTCGGCGCGGTAGCTCTGGCGCACGCAGTCAAGGATGCCCCGGTAGCGTGGGGCGCCCCGCAGCCCGTCAGCCTGCAGCCGCGACTTGACCACGTCCAAGGGGTAGGTGGAGAGCCAGGACGCGATGCCCGACGTGCCGCCCGCCAGCAGCAGCTTGGGCACCAGCAGGCGGTCGCCCGGCTCGCAGCCCAGCGCGCGTGTCAGCGTGTCGTAGGTGAGGAAGTAGACGCCGAAGCTGGGGGTCTCGCGCAGCAGCGTGGACACCATGCCCCGGTTGACGCCGCGCAGGCCCTCCCGCCGGTAGACCTGCGCCAGGCAGTCCAGGGGCCCGCGGTAGGTGCGGGCCGGCCCCGCCTCCTGCAGCTGCAGCCGCGTCTTGGCCAGCTCCATGGGGCAGCAGATGACACACTGGATGGCGCCCGCCGCCGCGCCCGCCAGGAACTGGTTCAGCGGCGAGTCCCGGCCCAGGGCCCGGAGGGTGTTGCCCTGCACGCCGAACACCAGCGCGTTGATGAAGGTGAGCCCCAGGAGGGGCGAGCCCAGGCCGCGGTACAGGCCCAGCACCTGCGGGGCGCACAGAGACGCATCAGGGGCGTTCCCGCTTGGAGTCTGGGGTTGCCCAAGCCCACCTCTCCAGGGACCCTCCACGCAGCTGGCGGCTGCCCCGGCCCACCCTAGCGGTACACGAGGATCAAGCAGAATTTTAGTAGAACCGAAGCCCTCAATCTGAGAGGCCTGGGCACTTGCACCCTGCCATTCGCAAAGCCCAGATTTGCCCGACAGTTGCCCCGATGCCTCTTCTTCCAGCTCTGTGGTCTGCAGACGGCAGCATCCCAGAGGCTGGTTCCCCGCCACACCCCCACCGGCCCCAGGCCACTCACGCCTTCCTGCTTGATGATGGCTTGGAAGCAGTGCACGGTCCCTTGGTACTGGGGCTTCTCCATGCTCTGGACCTGGAGCCGCACCTGGAAGGAGGGCCCGGTGAAAGGCGGGCTAGTGGAGCCAGGACGCCCAGCTCCCCGGGGCCAGCACTCGGGACACCCGGGGAGGCGCTCTCTCCAGGAGGCCCGAGGCCAGACCCAGAAGGCAGGGAGCCAGGGAGCTTTCTGTGGCTTTAGGAGTTCCAGGGTGGGGCAGGGCTGGGTGTCTGTGCCTCTTCAGGGAAGGCTATCAGCGGGCAGTCACAGGGACAGCCAGCTGCAGAGGGGCAGGGGTCCTCAAGACCCCGGCTTCACTATCTCTGCGCCGTGTAGTGACAGTGGGGCATGAGACATCTCTCGAGACCTCCCCACCCTCCCGGTAGCAAATCGTGGCCGACGCCAAAGGGGCTCAGGATCTAACATGCCACCACGCACTCCCTTCATCAGGGGCTGGCAGCGCGCAATGGGCACTGAAAGTGAGGAGCCTCGGGCCTCGCGGGCCTTCCGCTTGGTTTCTGCCAGTGCCCCCCGGTGAGGGCAGTGGGCATGAGTTAGTAAAGCGGTGACAGGAGAGCAGCTGGCAGCCTCCTTGGGGACCGTGTCAGCAACTCTGGGGCCTGGGGGATCAGGCTGCACTGCCCTTGGAGCCCAGCGGGCCAGAACCTCACTGTGAAAGCGTTCTTTGTTGACCGAGAGCTTATCTCTGTCCTTGATACGCAGGCCCCACAGTGCAGAGCAGAAGCACATTTCCTGAACTCCGAATCCGTGTCACGCGGGTCGGGGTGAGCTAGGTTAGGTCCCATTCCGGGAGCTGGTCTCCGGCTCTGACTCAGAGATTATCACCATTACAGGCATAATCACTGGCTGAAGTGGGTTCGGTCACTCCCATTTCAAAGGTGGGAAGACAGGCTCAGAGATGTTTTGCAACTCGGTCAGGCTGTCCACTCCAGGGACCTGAGTGGCTGCGTTGGTCGGGGCCAGGGTGGGGTAGGGGTGCTGGCGAGTGCACTTACAGGAAATGTTTTGTAAGGAAGAAAAGAATATACCATCTCGGCACACGAGGACCTCAGCCAAGAGCTGGCAGCCACTGCTCTGAGGGGCAGCTGACCACCGAGGGCACCCTGCGACGTTCACCCCAGCACCCCTCCCTGCCCTGGCTACCAGCTCAGAGGAGAGAAGCACAACCACTCGATGAGCTTGGAGAACATATTAACACCACGAGCTCTGTCTCAGGTTGTTTTCTGTGATGGGAGGCTCTTCATTTTCCCTTCAATGTTCCGGGGTCTCTGGGGGACTGTCTCTTCCTCCTGTGGTCCCCCGACACTGACACCAAGAGGGCTGTGTCAGCAGACATGATCTGAAACGGAGCTGTTCCCTCCGAGGCTGGACTTTCAGATGCCTCGGGGGAGTCTTTTAAGTCTTGACAGGATGTCATTTGAGGACCGAGGGACCCACCCCTGGAAAAGCGGTCATTCGCACACAAGCCCCGGAGGCTCCCAGCTCCCCGACGGGGCTGGGAGACCCCACGTGAAGACTCCCTGATCCAGAGGAGGCTGATTTCTCTCAGCCAGCCCCCAGGGCTCCCACCCCAGGATCTGGGCTGGGCCCAAACTCACCTCACACCCTCCCTGTCCCTAGCTGGGGAGAGATCTCTGGGGCATGGGGGGTGGGGAGGGGCGTGGCGTGGAGGGGTACAGGCCCAGGGTCTGACTGGGGGGGGCAGGGAGGGGGGAACGACAGAGAAGAGAAGCGTTGGGTTCACCTGGTCTGTACTTACTAGCGCTCTCCGGGGTGAGGCTTAACGCTCATCTACAAAGTTACATTTTGCTATGGATGGAGACAGCCCCTAGCTCAGAAAGTAAAGGCGGTTAAAGCAACACAAAATTTCAACATCACATCCAGGCAGGGACCCCCGAGGCCAGCCCCCAGCCTCCCCGCCCCCTCCCCTGCCCGGGCCGGCTGTTCCCTGGTGAAAGAGGGCTCAGACACGGTGTCCCTGGTCACACTGTCACATCCAGTGACACAGGACAGAAAATGGCCTTCCCACAGAAACATGTGCGAAGGCGGTGTGTCTGCGGACAGCGGCTGCGGTTCTGGGTGCAACAGAGGAAAACCAAACTTTGGACTCAGATTTTAGCCCCAAAGACCTGGAGGAACAGACTGCCAATGTTGCAGCCATAAGGCAGCGTGGATGTGGCCATGGAGCACGGGTGTCCCTGCACGCATAAGACAGCGTGGATGTGCATGGAGCACGGGTGTCCCTGCGTGCATAAGACAGCGTGGATGGGCGTGGAGCACGGGTGTCCCTGCGCGCAGAAGACAGCATGGATGTGGCCGTGGAGCACGGGTGTCCCTGCGCGCATAAGACAGCGTGGATGGCCGTGGAGCACGGATGTCCCTGCGCGCATAAGACAGCGTGGATGGCCGTGGAACACGGGTGTCCCTGCGCGCATAAGACAGCGTGGATGGGCGTGGAGCACGGGTGTCCCTGCGCGCATAAGACAGCGTGGATGGGCGTGGAGCACGGGTGTCCCTGCGTGCATTCCGGAGCCCAGGCCCGAGTTCATGAGGTTCAAGAGGTAGAACAGACCACAGACGAGAATTAGGATGGTGGCCGCCTGGAAAAGGGGAGGGCGGAGGTGTCAGGAGGGGAGGGGGGCTTCGGGGGGGACCGGCCTCGTTTCTTCTCCCAGGTGTGTGCTTCACGGTGATTCATAGATTCGTACACGGAGCGCGTGTGCACATTTCTCCATGTGTGACACTTCAATTAAAACAACCACCGCGGAGCTATGAAGTAAATCGCACCTTTGCCAAAAGCAAGCAATATATATGGGCCTGTGTACATGTCTGTTTTTTGGTAGAAATCATTAACAAGGTTTGGGGGAAAGGTTACATAAAGGACTGTTGTCTTTTTGTTTTTGCTTTCTTTTTAGTTTATATGTCTCTGTTACGGTGAACATTTTTTATGACCTACATTACTTTTGTAATAGAAAGTCAACGAAAAAAATGTGTATGTACCCGATGATTAAAAAAGCCGTCAAAAAAAAAAATCACGTTTCCCAATTTTCTTTGAGAATGCTTAACTTTTATAATGGAAAACAGTAAAAAAAAAAAAAAAAAGGCCATTGGTGATAGAGCGTTAAATCAAACCAAATGAGTGTCTCTAGAATCAGCACAATTTAATGGTACCTGAGCCCATGGGTGGAACAAGAGTGTCAGTGGTGATTGCTGGGGGTGGGTTTTCTCCCCCTTCCGAATAAAAAGCTTGGCTTTTTTTTTTTTTTTTTAAGAAGGAAACAATGTAAATATTTTAATAAAAACAATCCCACAGCATTTATTGTCATCTGGTAATAACATAAAGGTGAGCAAAACAATACGAATAAATGCTTTAGAACTACACTTCTAACAAAGGACACCTAAAAACACTGTATTGCCTTCTCAACAATTTCTCACTTCACTGATCATCTCTAGTTGGAGACACTCTGGAGCACAGTAATGTTATCTCCTTTCAGCGTGATCCGACTCAGCTGTTTTCTTGACTTTGTTTTAGCACGAATCTCTTCTGCATCATCTAATACGAGATTCAGATACTCATCAAAACCAGTGATACAGCCCTCTATCTGCATATTCACTTGCTCATAAAGCCACACCTGAATCCCAGATTTTGCAAGCATTGGAAGATAAGATCGATGGGATGCACCCCTGCACCTTCTGCACCTTCCGGCCCCGGCCCTGGTACGCCATGGCGGAAGTTCACAAAGACCACACCACCCCGCACACCAAGAGCTTGGCTTTTTAAAGACAGCTTTGCCCAGATGTGATGCTGGTGGGCCACGGTGGCAAAAACACAGTTCCAAATGGATCTCCTCAAAGCCCACCCTCAAGGTGCCAGGTAAGGTGGGGGGAGAGGGGTGTCCCGGGGGCAGGAACCCAGTGGGGCAGAGGCTCCTGTGCTCAAATTACTGCCGGGGGTGCTGGTCATGGTTCAGAAGGTCCGAGGGAGCTAGAGACGCCAGAGCAAAGTGCCCCCGAGTCTGGCGGGCCTGACTGAGGGGCCGGGGGCGGGGAGCTGCAGAAGGCCTGGCCAGGCCTGGCTGAGTCCTAGCTCAGAGAGGCCTCTGCAAAGCTGGGCTGAAGAAGTGAATCGGAGACACTTCCTGGCTGGATGCAGCTCTGAGAGGCATTCACAACACATGAACACGCGACAGAAACACAGCATGACGTGGACCCTGCTTGGCTGTCCTGGGCTGCTCTGGCCCGTGGGCAGGCTCCGGGGGGTGGCCAGCTGGGCAGACACCGGCAGCCGTGCGGACAGGCTGCCCCAGCACCTCACTCTCCACAGGCCCGTATGGGGGCTCAGGGGCTGCTGAGTGGCCAGAAAGCCTGGCCTTTCCAACTCCTCCCCAAATTCGATGAGTGGCTTGGAAGGAATAAGGAATTCCACGACCTTCGGAACCAGCATTTCACCCAGCACAAACTACACAGTTGAGCACCGGGCCCAAAGGCCTCAGTAATCTTGCCAACCCCTCACTGTGCAGGTCAGAACAGCTGGCCCAGAGGTAAAGTGACTGGCCCACAGTCCCATGACAGATCAGCCGGGCAGGGGGCCCGGAGCTGCACAGGCCCAGGGACAGACTTATTTTTTTTGGCGGGGGGTGGGGTGGGGGGTGGGGGAGACTTTGCTGAGTGGCTTGAGGGATCTGAGTTCCCCGACCAGGGATTGAACCTGGACCCTCAGCAGTGAAAGTGGGGAGTCCTAACTACTGGACCACCAGGGAATTCCCGGGACAGACCTTTTTAAAGTCAGAGCCAGTGCATAAGGCAGGGCCCTCATGCCTGTGCTGGAGAAAATCCCTGCCCTAGTTCACAAGACTTGTTCTCAGCCCAGGAACACCTGGGTTCCTGAAGAAAGAGGAGACAGGGAGTCCTCTCAAACCCACCTAGGGATGACATCCTTGCCTGCGCTCTGCCCTCGCCCCCCTGGGAAGAGATGCCAAGTTCAGTGTTCACAGTGGGACACCAGGTCTGGCCTAGTGCCTGCTGATGGCAGCTCACCAGGCTCCCAGGGGAAGCCCGCAAGGAAGGGTCCTGATGTGGCTATAGCTGAAGGACCAAAAAACCCCAGAAACAGGGGGGAAATCTTATTTGGGAATTTCCAACTGGGTATGCGGACTTCCTTGGTTTCCGTTGAGGTGCCGGAGAACCTGGGGCCCGACGACGTGCCAAGGTGTGGGCTTGCGGAGGGGGAACTGGGCGCCAGCCCCGGGGCCATGCTCTGGAGCCACCAGCACCCTACAGGTGCACACCAGCCCTCGGGAAACGACCGCTCAGTTTCTCAGCCCTGATCACCACGGCTCTGTGAAGATCACAGTCACGGGAAAGGCTGACAAGGTTTGATTTTTCTGTATTTTCTCCCTGAACTTTCTTTCTTTCTTTTTCAGGAAGCTGTCTGGAGGAGTTCTGCGTAAAGACGGGGTGGGGGGGGTGCCCCTTGCTCTGGGTGGGAGGAAACCTGTCCTTCGGCCCCTCAGTCCCAGCTGGCCAAGCCCCAGAATGGACCTCCAAGTTCAGCCCCAGCTGGGAGACTGCAGGGACAAACCTGGGAGGAAAGGCCGACTTGGCCCGGTGGACAAGCTGCCTCTCACCTGGGCAGCAGGGAGAAGAACCCTGACTCTACCTTCATTCTAGAACCTGTGGGAGGACCTTGGAAGGGCTCCCAAGGTGGTGCCCGGAAAGGGGGGTCCAGCCACCACGACGCTGCAGGCCGCCCTCCAATGTCTGTGCCTCCACGAGGGCCTGAAAATAAAACCTCGACGAGAGACTCACCTTGACCGTGTCAAACGGGTGTCCCACCAGCACACCTGCCACACCTGGAGGGAGAAAGGAGGACGTGTGACCCAGATGCCTCGGAAACCGCAGCGTGGGGCACGGTTCTGGCAAGGACGTGCCTGGCACATCCGGAGAGCCCCTTAATCCTCCGCGTGAGGTTAAGTGAGGGTGACCGCCCCGAGGTCAGGCCAGCACCTGGCCAGCTCAAAGCTGGTGACCCTCCCTCCGCCCTGCTGCTCACTGCAGGTGACAACAGAAGCTCCCCCTTGGGAGGCTGCACACGCCATTTCTAAGATGCTCACGTCACTCCAAATATCTGGCACGGCTGGGGGCTCCAGGGCTCTGGACCTGGGGCCGGCCCCTCGCCCAGATTTGAATTTTCCCTCTGTCATTTACCAGCTGGTCGAGCTCACAAAGAACTCGGTGTCTGAGCATCACTCTCCTCACCTGTACAGGTGTGAACATCAACCTCCCCAGGGCTGCTCCTGGCCCTGAAGTGCTGACCCAGGACCTGAGGCGTTCATGCTTGGTTATGTACCAGTCCAGGACGTGTCCAAATCCAGCCCCCCTCAGAGGACAAAGGCTCCCCCTCCAAATGGCCCACAAGCACCTGTCAGAGTCCTGCGTGCTGCGTGGGTTACAAACATCCCTGTGAATCAGGCAGTCTTGTTACTCTGCTTCATGGAAGAAGTGAGGCTCAGTGAGGTCGGGTAACTGCTGCACTGACTCCCATGCTTTCCTCCCTAGAATTTCATGTGTGTACATCTTACAGTTCTTTTTTTTTGGCTATATTTAAATGTATAATTAAATATAGCAATTAAACAGGCTAACATTTGTTGAGTAACAAACAGTAACGTTTCTACCTTCTGGTTACCGTTCTTAGTTTTGTCCGTGTACCAACTCTCTTTCTTATGTACGTAAAGGAAGGACCATTAGCCCATTTTACAGATGAGGAAACTGAGGCATAGAAAAGTAATATGTCCATGCCACACAGCTAGGTAAGCGGTGGAGCGGAGATCTGGACCCAAACCTTCTGGCCCTGGAGCCGCCCTCCTTAATCACTCAGAGCTAGCTCCCTGTCAGAGCTGGTTAGCATGTTTGTGGATGCCCAGAGTCAACGGGAATTACTACGCTTCTTCATAAATTGAATTTTAAAAAATTTATTTATTACTATTATTATTATTACTTTTTGGCCGCACCGCACAGCATGTGGGATCTTAGTTCCCCGACCAGGGATTGAACCCGTGCTCCCTGCACCGGAAGCGTGGAGTCTTAACCGCTGGACCGCCAGGGAATTCCCCCATAAATTGTATTTTTAATCCTTGTATAATGTCCTCTTCATCTTAATGCTTCGGACTTAAAATCCACTTTGTTTGATATTAGCTTTGCCAATCCTGCTTTGTTTTTGGTCACGTGTGTCTGGTATAGTTTTGTCCAGTTCCTAATTTTCAACCTTGTCTTACTGCTTTGTTTTAGTTGTTCCACAATCTACAGCCTGGTTTTGGTTTCTACTCCGGACTGCAGCAGTCTCAGATTTTGCCAAGACAAGAGATCTGACATGATTCCGTCTTATTTTATGGGCATGATCTATGTACTTCCTTTCCTTTCCACATTTTTGCTGGTTCAGGCAAACTACTATTTATCCCCTTTCTGCTTGCTAATTTCTAAGTTCAGCTAAGAGTTACTTCTGCCTTTGAACACTCATAACCCTTATGTAGAAACAGGGTGAGAACCGTCCCTGCCATGGGGTGAGAGTAGGAGGCTCTCTCTGCCCTCACCCTACCCCCAAGGGGGTTCCCACCCTGCCAGCTTCCACTGATCTACAAACCCCACGGGACTCGGGGCTACCCCATCTCCTCTTCACCTCTCCCGCCATCTCGGGGTCTCTACTCCGATCGTTGGAGCCTTTCTTGACTATGGCCCTCAGTTGTGACACGTGGGAGACATGCCCTCTGAACTCCTGCTTATCTGCAAAATCCGCCTCTTCAATGCCGTTAGGGAAAACGGTCCTGTGCTCTGGTGAGAATTCCGGGCCCAGGCCACTAAGGGCGGCAACGTCCCAGAGTCTTCTGGTTTCCAGTGCAGTTGAGAAATCTGTTGTCAGCGTGTCTGTTCTCCTTTATCAATAACTTATTTATTCTATGAAGAAGCCACTGAGATTTTATCTGTAGATTTCGGGAATGTCACCAGGAGATACCAAGGGTGTGTCTTTTTTCTTTAAAAGAACCCAGCCTGGAACTCCCCCAGCGCAGACTAGCCTTTTCCTGATCAGAGAAAATTTCCTCTATTATCTATTCATCGTCTCCAGACCTTTTTCTCCCTCTGGGACCCGTAACATTCACAGGTGGGTGAAAAGACACCCCAAGCCTGTCTTTCCCCTCGAGACTTCCACCTCTGTGTTTCTGATCTTCGAGACACACTTTGTTTTTATCGCTTGAGATCTACCTTCTTTTTCATTTCATGTTTCAAATTTTCTGAATTTGAAAATCCTAATTCTAGGACCTCCTTTCGTGGGCTGTAACTGGATCTCCTCGGGTTCTGGAAACCTAACACTGCCTGGGGTGTGTTGCCTGGCCTTCCTTCTCTCTCCAGCCGTGCCCCCTGCAGCCAGGCCCAGCTGGGGTGGGGGTCCCCTTCCTGTGGGTGGATGCCCCCGCCTCTGGTCCCAGACTTGCCCAGGTGCCAGCAACAGCCTTCATCAGCCTGTGGGGTGGGAGAGGCACCCCTCAATCCCACCAAGGGCTCCGAGAGCAGGCAGCTGCATTCCTATTTTCTCCCTTGATCTGAGGGCCCTCAGGCGAAGGGCTGGCCCCCCTCACCCTAAACATCTCCATCCACAGAAACAAGAGTCGGCTACGGGCCTGCCTCCATCAGGGCCTCCAGTCCCCCAAATCCTTACCCTTTTAACCTCCCAGTCACCTTGAGAGCCAGGAAGCCTGAGGGCCATCTCCCTGAGAGGGGCCTACAGTCACAGCAGCCAAAGTGGACCGTGTCTCCCAACTCCAAAGCCGGTACCCACTGCCTTACATAAGCTGGCCTTTGAGGGGCAACCCGCATCCCATGACCCTCAAGGGCAGGAGGTGGGACCACTGTCCTGGAGGTGCCTGGCAGAAGAAGTGGTGGGAAGGGGCACCAGGATGACTGACCTGTCCCCCATATGCAGGGTCCCACTGCCTACGGTTGAATTTCTCTCCTCCCATCCATGCCTGTGGCAAGGGGACCCCCATTCAGAGCCCAAGGTCAGACCAGGAACTGACCCGTGGTGGGGGAGTGCAGGCGGGCATTGGGACCCTTCCACCCCGGGAGACCTCAGGGAAGCTGGCAATCAAGGTCCCACCCGCACCTCCCCGGAAAGGCGAGGTTGAACACGTGGCCCACACCCAGCCAATCAGAGGTGACGTACTGTCCTTCCTCCGGGGAATCTAAATCAAGAGGCACCCCAGCTGCGGAAAAGCAGCCTTCGTCTGCCCTGAGCCTCCAGGCCTTGAGGAGCTCAAACCCCAAGGAGCCAGGCAGCCTCTGGGGGCCAGGCCCCAAGGCAGGGGCGCCGCCTGCGCAAGGTTCCTGGACGGCCCCTCTGCTCCAGCCAGACCGTGCCAGGGGCCCGGAAGGCAGGCCTGGGACACAATCCGGTCACTGTCCTGTGGGCCGGCCCCTAGCGCCCGTGAGGCTAGGGGAAGGGAAGAGCTTGGCAGCCTCTCTCCACTTCTGAGGGCCTAGGTTTCTCCTGGGTCAAATATACCAGGAGAGGGTCTCTCCTACCCTTTCCCGTCACCGCTCACACAGTGCGGGAGAAGGTGGGCACCACCAGCCCCAGGCTTCCACCTGGAGCCAGGTAGGGCAGTCGGTTTGGGGGCTGTGGAGTACCTACAGCTCTCCCGGGTGCTGGACCCTGGCCTTGCCCCAACCCTGGGGCCTGGACAGGATCTCTCCCAGGTGGGCTTGGCGAGGATGGGCAGAAGGCATTCCGGGCAGGGTCCTGGGTAAGCAAGAGCCCAGAGGGACTTAACAAGTGTGTCTGGGGGGATGGGCCTGGCCTTAGGAGGAGCGTTCCCAGCCCAATCCCCATGGATCCCAGGACGCCTGCGTGAATACAGAAGGAATCCTGCCCGTCTGGGGAAAGAACCCACACTCCGCCTAGCGGAAAGGGGTTGGAAGGGGTGTTGGCCCTGGGGCTGAGCCACCACTGGGGGTGGGTAGAGAAGGGTCTGGGGCCCAGGAGAAGCCGGCGGCCTGGTGGCAGGACACTCAGGGAGGTCCCTCAAGGGGGACAGGAAGAGCAGAGAGTAGAATGGGGTTGGGGGGATTGAGAGCTGGGTCCACAGAGGCCAACCCCTCCTGTCTCCTCTGGCACCCTGGGCTTGGGAGAAATGCTCCCCAAATTACTGAAAGCTCTGGGGCCTGGAGGCCTGATTGGGTGACCGTCTGGGACACTTCCTGGGCACACCCCCTTCTCCACCAGCCCGCCTCTGGTGCAGAACAGGAAGCTAGCAACGCACTGCTTTAAATGCTAGACGCTCTCCTCTTCCTCCAGGGTGCCCACGGCTGGCAGGTAGCTGAGAGCTTTATTAAAGACAACAGGGGCAGGTGCTGGAGAAGAGAAGCACCTGGTGTCAGAGGCTGGATGGGGCCTGGGGACACCCAGCCAGCAGCCCTCTCCCCGTGAGGCAGAGCCCTGCCACTTCTGTCCACTCTGCTGAATTCCTGGGGGCTAAACCTGGCTCCCAGTGAATACCTGTTGAATAAATTAACTCTACAAGTAAAAGCAGAGAAACTAAAGGCCAGAGAGGCAAGTGCAGAGCCCGACGCCCAACGGTCAGGCCACAGCAGAGCCCGTACAGCACACTGACTCAGGTCCTCCCGGGGACACAGGACCCCAGCGCCACGCCCCGGCTCCGGTGACACGCACGCGTGAGACCAAGGCCTAGCTCGCGCGGCGTGTCAGGCCCACTCTGCCAGCCGGGTGGAGTCTAACCACCAGCAGAACCACGTAGGAAGGGGGCGGGGCGCCACAGCGTGACTCGGTGCCTGGGGTCGTGCCGGCGCCTTTTACGCCATCTCCCTAGGGCGTCGTCCAGTGGCCCCGGCCCCAGCCCCACCCAGACGGCTACGGGAGAGGGGGTAGAGCCAGCTTCAAACTTTTTGGGTCGAGGGAGGGGACCCTGCTCCAGGTGGGCGCGGGCTGGGGGAGGGGGAGAGGGAAATGGGCTCGGGGCCTCGCCGTCCGCTGGCCTCGGGCGAGGAGGGCTGTGGGGCATCCTTCTGGCAGTCCCCTGGCAGCCACGGTACTGTCCCGGAGCGCCAGACCTCTCGTCCGAACGTGCCCTGAAGGACTTAGAAGACACCTGCCCTCGCGGACAGCGTGCTAGGCGCCCTCCCGGCTTGTCGTCAATTCACGCCCACGAGAATCCCGTGAGACAAGAGCACTGTTAACCCATTTTACAGACGAGGAATCCCCAGCCTCAGGGTAAGCCACTGGGCCGAGAGCTCGCAGGTGGGCTGGCCTCCCAGCCCGGATGCCTCGCCCCGGCGGCCCGGCGTTACCGGCCCCCGCACGCGCCCGGACAGGACCCGCCCGCCTCCTTACCCCCAGCGCATCCAGCCAGAAAGTCGAGCGCCATTGCCGGGTCCTCGGTGAGGCCGCCCTTCCTCCTTGTCCTCTTTCTCTAGCCCCTCGCCGGGCTGGTGGCCGTCGAGGGCTCCCCCTGCCCTGCTGGGCCGGGACTCGGCCTGGCCGCCTCCAGGCACGGAGCACCGCGCAGGCTGGGGTCTGGCGGCGGCGAAGGAGGCTCTGCGCGCGACTCCTCGCCGGGCGCGCGTCCTTCGCTGGCCGGCTCGCTGGCCCTTGCTGTCGCCAGCGCACCGCCCGTGGTCCCTCACCTCGGTCGGCGTGTCCGGCCCCTCGGACCTGCCGGCCGGGCTCGGGCGGAGCGCAGAGCTCAGCCAACGGGCGGGCGAGGCTCGGACAACACCCCGGGCCCTGCGCGCCGCCGCCGCGCTTCATTGGCTGGGCGGACCTGGGGCGGGCGGGGCGGGAGGCACGTAACAGGCAGGCGGGCGGGCGGGGGAGCTGCCGAGGCGCTGCAGACAAAGAATGTGCTTCGTGCGCCCGCCCGCGCCGCCCCGGGCGGGAGAGGAAGCCGGGTGTGTGCTGCTGCGGGAAGGTGGGGCCCGGCCCGGCCGGGGAGCCAACGGCCTGCGCGGCCCAGGAGCTTCCCGGCGTGCGCGATGCGGGTCAGCAGGGCGGGAGGTGGCGTGCGCTCGCTCCGGATTGGGCCTGGGATCCTGGGGCCTGGGTTTAGATCCCGACTCCGCCGCCCAGCCTCAGGGTCCTCGCCTGTATAATGGGGACACGCCGCGGTAACGAACGTGGAAGCGCCAGGACCCTCCAAGGCCTGCAGGCTCGGACACTAATTGTCACACTCCTCGAGCGGCGAAACACCCCCTCGGGGAGTCTTCGCCCCTCCCGTCTGTGCGCCCTCCTGGCGGTGGGCCTGCGGCTTCCGGCCGCCTGGCTCACCTCGGGAGGGGCGAGGAGCGTGGTCAGGCCCTCGCGGGCCCGCACCTGAGCGCGAACTGCGGGAGCCGCGGAAGGTTGTGAGGCGGGGGAGGTTCCTGGACTGGTCCGAGAGCCGCCAGGCGGGAGAGGCCAGATCGCGGCGCGTCCATATCGGCGGCCAGGCGCTGTGTGGCCGGAGGGGACGGTCCTCGAGCCGCGGCTCTGGGAGGCCTGCGGGCCTGGAGAGCCAGGCGGAGGGGAGGGAGGGTGCGAAGGCGAAGTGGGAGGGCGCTGGGCTCCTGTCTACGCGGGTGGCTGGGCGGCGGGGTTCGGGGGGGGTTAAGTAGGAGCCGAATCTGACGCCGCTCCCCGCCCCTCCCCCCCAGTCCCCGAGATTGGCAGTGGCAAGGGACCCCCTCCCTGCTCCCTGGGGAGGGTCCGAGTCAGAGACTTCCCCCTGCCCTCCTTCCCCCTGCCCTCCTTCCCCAGCGCCTCACGAAGTCCTGATTGGCCGGTTGGGACTGGGCTCGCCTGGACGCTTTCTCCCTCACAATGGGAGTCAGATGACACCTTCAGGCCTTCAGGCCTGCGCCCAACTTCCTTCTTCGTGCTCCTGTGGTCAGGACCACACCTTGCGGTGTGGCAGATCACACAGTTCTTTTATTTGCATTTTACTGTTTCTGAAATCGACACGGGGGTTGCCATGGATATGTATCTCATGGTACTTGGTACTAGGGGGTATATGTCAGGAGTATGTACAATAAGTAGTGAACCCTGGTGATACAGAGGCCACTAGGAATCCAACGGGTGATACAGAGGCCACTAGGAATCCAACGATTATGTGCGGTTTCCTTTTAGTCTTCTTAGAATCTAAATAGAACATTCCGTAAGCAGAGACCCAAACCCAGGTCTGCTGACTCCTAGTCCAGTGCTTGTGATGGCTGGTGGGCCCTGAGCTAGGGGTCTGGAGGCCTGGGTTTGAATATCGCCAGCCTCTGACCCAGCTCAGGCCTCAACAAGGCCCATGAGCCAGAAAAGCATGTGGGCCCCAGGAGCAGCAGCCCAGACTCAAAACAGGGGCAGGAGTTGGCTGGAGACCTCTGAGGCCATGGCGATTAAACTGGACAACCTACATCCAGGTGACTCACCTCTAGGAACAGGGGGTCCCTGGGTGACTGAGGCCTCAGGAGGTAAAGCACAAATGCCTGCAGCATCCATCCCTGTTTTTGGAGGTTTGAGAGGAGAGTCAAGTGCCTTAACAGGGCAGTAAGTCAGAAGATTATTATGGACCAATTAATAAGGAGACAAAGGGGACCCGCTTTGTTTTGTTTTTAAGAGAACACAAGTGCCTTTAAGTTAATGCCATGCTTGGGGCAGGTGGCATGAGCCCTGACTCCTTGGGGCGGGGGGGTCCTTGGGAAGGGGCCCAGCAGCCTGGTGCACAGTAGGCACTCAATATTTGAGCTTCAGAAAGCTCCTTGGAGGGAAGCCCTGTTCGGGCCGACCCTACAGGGATCCAGGTGGGGGAGCTGGTAGCTGTAGGGTGGGATCCTACAGGCCAGGGAGGAGGTGTGAGGTGTGAGGCCTCTAGCTGTGCATCCTGCAGGGAGGGCTTGGAAGTGGGGCTGGGCTGCGGGGGAGCCAGTGTTCAGGCTGAGGCTTGTTGGGTTTGGGGACAAAGGTCCAGTATGTGGTGAGCAGTAGAGGGGTGGGCTCTGGGGCTGGTTTGCCCACAGTGGCCTGTTAGAGAGGCCTAGGCTGTGGGTGCTGGGCAGTGGCCTCCAACTGGGCGCACCCCAAGGGCAAGTCCAGGGTTTGTCCCGTTCATCCCAGGATGTGCTTGAAGCAGCATTTTCAAGGCCGTGAGGAAGGGGTAAAAGCAGGCGCTGTGAGGGGCTGGGGTCACTCGGGTGCACCGCTGGCTTACTAAACCCTACGACCACATTGCTCCTGAAAGCCGCCTCTCCCTGAGAATCATGCATGTCCCTGCTGCCTGGGAACCCCTCCCTTGGCTGGTGCCCTGGGCCTGGAGCAGACCCTGGACCACATACAGTGTCACTCTAGGAACTGGACGAAAGCAGGGCATGGGGATGGAGTGGGGGGAGACCCTCCTCCCTGACCTCCTGGGCCTTCCACAACAGCTGGCGAGAGACCCAGAAGCGAAGAAGTCATGGCCAAGTAAATGAGTACGTCCTGACAGGCCTGCATTATTACATCAGCCACTGGGGCCCATGTCTGTTCTTCTTCATTTCCTGAGGATAAAATTACAGCACAGAATGTGCTTTTTCAAACTTCTCACGTTCCACGGGGCCCCAGGACACTTCCCCTCCCAGGGGAAGCCACCTTGCGGGGCTCAGACCCCAGCCTTTAAGAGGTGGGAGGGGCCCAAGGCCAGAGCAGTGTGAGGACAGCTAGGAGGGGAGAAGTGCCACAGGGGACCAGGGGTCAAGCCTGGTCCCTGAAAGTGCATGGTAGAGTTTTTATTTTGCACAGCTTTTATAATTTCTTACACAAGACAGTTTGGGTTTGGAAAATTTAGAAACACCAACAGGTAAAAAAAAAAAAGGTTCGTAAATGTTCTCACCCTGGAATCTGATGAATTCAGTGACGGGGGGCTATTTGGACCCCGGGTGGGGTGGGGAGCGAGGTTGGAGCTCAAGGTGTCACAGGGTGAGTGGGGTGAGGGTGGGCCGAGGCACCTGCTGTGTAGACCTTCTGGGGTGTTAGGCCATGCCAGGGCAGGCGTGATTCTAGGATGGAAGCCACCGGAACAGGTTCCAAAGCTCCTGGGCAAAGGCTGGTGGGGAGGACAGGGCTGTCAACTGGCCCCCCTCTCACTTGGACTAAAACCCAAGCTCAGTGCCTCAGAGCCCAAGGTGACCTGGCTGCACCCTCAGAGCTCCAAGCTCATTCCCACCTCAGGGCCTTTGCACTGACTGCTTCCCCTGGGGGGGAGCTCCTCCTCCCAGCCTGGCACAGGTCATCTCCAGGACTCAGTTCCCTGCTCAACTCGCAGCTCCTCAAAAGGGGCTTGGCTGGGGGCCCCCCCACCCCATCCCCATGCCCTGCTTTCGTCCAGTTCCTAGAGTGACACTGTGTGTTCCTCTATGTGTTTATCACCTCCCTTCCTCTGGCATGTTAGCTCCACCAGGGCCGGGACTTTGCCCCTCTTTACTAACACTAAACTGGGCCTGGCACACAGCAGGGGGTGAGCAGGCAGCTGAGGAGCCTGCCCTGGGTGAGTGAGTCTGGGCTCTGGGCTGTCCTGCCCTGTGGCCACGGGTCTCCCACCCCAGACCTCTAGGATCGGGGTCTCCCAGAGAGACCGCTAAAATGCAGATTCTAGGGCCCCACCTGGGCCCTCGGAGCAGGCAGAGGCAAAACTTGCATTGAAACTGACCTCTTCAGGGCCTGAGACCGTCTCCAAGGACAGGTTCGGGAAACTCTGGCTCAGTTTTGCTTTTCAGTCTCAACTTGGACCCCTCCGGGCTGTGTGGCCCTGTGAGCCATCTTTGTCTCAGGTTCGTCATCTGTCAGATGGGTTCAGGAGGATTCTAGGGGCCAGAGCAAGTGAAGGAGGCCATGCAGAGTGGGCACAGAGCAGGGGCAGACCCGACCTTGCTGTCATTCCTCCAGAGCAAAATGCCCGGCTCTCTGCCTTTATCCATTGACACCTTTGCAGGAAACATGGAAGATCAGAATTAATTAATCAGCTGAGGTACTGAAGGGTTTCCTAAGGGCCTCTTTTTTTTTTTTTCCTAAGGTCTTCTTAAACCCTGACCCCGCAGCTGGGCTCCAGGCCCTGGCTCAGGAGGGCCCTCTAATGGCTGCTGAAGTTGCTGCCGTGAACAGGCGTGGTGGCTTTGTGCCGGTGCTGGTGAAGGGGCTCTGCCCAAGGGGCGTCTTTCTCCTGGTGGATAAACGTCTGCCGTCTGCGTGACCCTCTGGCCTCTGGTCCAGTCTGCACTGGGAGTGACTCAGCCACCCCAGTGAGGGTGTCTGCGCTGGGCCTCAGAGGGTGGAGGGCCTGGGACCCCTTAGGGACAGTTAGCCAGTGTCCTGGGGGCCCCTCCCGAGTCCACGGCGCCCAGCGTTCTCCTGTTGGGTAGATTTTGCGGAATTCACATCTCAGTTGAATTTAGTCATCCCCAAAGTGGCCACCGCGCTGTGTGTGTGGGTTTCTTGCATCTTCCTTCAGCTGCAAACAGTCACAGTTTTCCCCAGGGCCACCTCTCCAAGTGAGCTGTGGCCTCCGCTGTGCTTCGCACCCACTTGGCCTTGGAGTGAGTGGACTGAGGGGCAGGATCGAGGGAGGCTCTGGCCAGATTATGAGATGACCAGAAACTCAAGATGGGGAGTGATATAAATAGACACGGCAAGTGCTTCTGGTGTAAAAATAGAGCTAAGGGGATGTGCCTGGGGCGCCCTGGACCCGGAAGGCCAATAGGGGTGGACCCTGGCTTGGGTTGGGCTAACTGGCCAGCACAGAGGGGCTGGGCTGGGGGGAGCTCGGCCAAGTGTGGACACGGCGTGTGCTTGCTGCCCACGGGCCTCCTGGGGCCAGGCCTGATCGGTGCCCTCTGGGGGCTCCACTGTCATGGTTGGGGCAGCTGGGTGAGCAGACCGTCCCCAGCTGACGGGCAGTGTGAGCAGGCACCCAGCGCAGTGGCCAGAGGAGGGCCGTGTGACCCCACCCAGGCGGAGTCGGTGGGAGGGTGGGGCAGGAGTGGGCAGAGTGGTGCCCTGGGCAGGGGTACTGGGTGCTGAGCCCAGGGGCGTGTTCGGATGGCAGGGTGGCAGGCAGGCTCCTCGCGAGCGCCGGAGACCACGGAGAAAGGGGCTGAGAGAAAGGCCTCGGCACCTGGAACCCAGGAGCCCTGCTGTGGTTGTTGGACCCAGAGTCCAAGCTCCCCTTTTCCAGAACCTGTCCGGGTGGGAGGGGCCTTTGTCAGCTCTGTGTCCCTCCTCCCTCCTGTGGCTTCCTCTGTCCTGCCTGCCCAGCCTGGGGCAGTCACCCAGCCAGACGTGAGCCAGTGCCCGACTGGGGCAACCAAGCAGGGAGAACGGTCCCCTCTGCCCGAGCCAGAATCCCCTCTGCCACCTGCCCCGCTGCTTTGGGCTCTGCCCTCTGGAGCCCCTGCCACAGGCCCGTCCTTGGGCCCCTTGGGTGCCTGACACTTGGCTCCTGTGCCACTCAGCCAGGGGCCAGGCTCACCTCCCAGGTGAACCCCTCTCGGGGCCTTGCTGTCCAAATGGAGGGTGGCGGGCCGGCTTCTGTCATCCGCCTTTGAGCATCTGTTGTGCCAGCGGGGGTCCAGGTGAGCCTGCCCTCAGGGGCTTCCTGTCAAAGTGTGCCTCTCTCTCTCCCCTTCCCAGCTGGCTCAGGCGTCTCCTCCGCCCCGGCACTTTGTCCCAGCCTCCCCTCCTTCACTGGCCACTGCCCCCCAGGCCCGCCGCTTCCCCTGGATGTGCCCCTGCCCACAACCAATGAGATGTGTCCACGTGCTCCAGCCAGGGTGGTCCAAGCCCCTCCCAGTCCTGGCCCGCCTTCGGCCTTCCCCCACCGCGCTCCCTGCCGGTCTCGTCCAGGTCTCATGTGCTGAGGATGCCCGTCCAGGCAAGCGCTCCTCTTGCTGCCTGTGAGCAATTTGTCTTTTTTTTTTTTTTGGCTGCACGACGTGGCCTGCGGAACTTCCCCGGCCGGGGATCAAACCCAAGCACCCTGCAGTGGAAGTGCGGAGTCTTAACCGCTGGACCACCAGGCAGGTCCCCCTGTTGCTGCCTGTGCAGAAACCACCCCCTTCAAGAGGGCCACGACTGCATAAAGGCATTGTGGCCGGACCCCGGCTGTGTGGGAAGCTAGGCGCCGTGTTTTGAGCCTGCTCAGGCGGTCCTGTGGAGCAGGTCCATTTGGCCAGGAGCTGAGGCCCCCAGCCGACAGCCGTGTGAGTGAGTCAGCCTGGAACGCAGTCCTCCGGGCCCCCGGCAGGCGTCAGATGGCTCAGCCCTGGCTGACAGCTTGACTGCAGCCTCACGAGAGACCGTGAGCCAGAGCCCCGAAACTAAGCTGTTACCGGATCCCTGACCCTCAGAAATGGCGAGATAATAAACATTTGGTATCATAAGCTTCTGAGGCATTTGGGGATAATTTCTCATGCAGTAATAGATAAAGAATACGCTCCCCAGCCAGGCCGGGGCTGCCGGGCAGCATCTGAGTCATTTTTGAATCCCAGCACCCAATGTGAGGCCTGCACAAGAAGGTGTGCGCTGGAATGAATGAATGATTGACAGACGTCAATAGCTTGCTCTCCCCACATCATCAGATATGATAGGCCTCAGGCCCTGCTTGGGACAGAGCCTCATTCCTCAATCCAAGCCCGTGGGTCTTAGATCTGGGTGGTGTCAGAGGTCATCTTGTCCAGGCGAGAAGCCTGAGGCCCAGGGGGTATGATCCTCTCAGCCCTTCCAGCCAGTGGACCCCAGGGTTGAAGATGCCTCCTGGGCAGGTCTTGAAGGGGTCACAGGGGACTGGAAACAGGAGACGCTGCAAGAAGTGACCGGAGGGTTTTGGCTATGGCCTGGGTGCCGGGGAACTGGGGAGACAAGGCCGGCGTGTGGGTGGAGGCAGGGCAGGACTGGAGAAGCCTGACCGCAGGCCCAGGAGCAGGCCAGCAGCGGAGCCAGGCCTGAGGCTGCTGGCTGGCCCTTCGAGGGTCTCTTCTGCTCTGACAGCCGGTGCCTGGAGCCTTCAAAGTCCTTACCGGTGTTGGGACTTTCCTGGCCGTCCAGTGGTTAAGACTCCGCGCTTCCACTGCAGGGGCTGTGGGTTCGACCCCTGGTCGGGGAGCTAAGATCCCACATGCTGTGTGGCGAGGCCAACAAAATAAGAAAAAAAGAATTTAAAAAGTCCTTATCTGCATTAACCCTGCCCTGGGTAGCTGTCGTCCCTGTTCGCAGATAGGGAAACTGAGTCATGGGGTCAAGTTCATCAGTGTCACCGGTGGCACAGCGGGGCTCAAATTCCAGGTCTTCCCCTAATTGTCACTGGTTGTTTCTCTCTGGCCCACGGTGTCCTCATCTGTAACACGGGGGTGGCTCCAGGGGGCCTGGCGCTCTGAGCTGAGCTCAGACATGAAGGCAGCACCATCTGGCACCCCCGCTGGGAGCAGTGGGAGCTGGGGGCAGCCCTTCCTGTTCACCCCGTTGCCAGGGTGGAGGTGGGGGCACGGAAGACAGCAGGGGACGCCCTGTCATATGCTTTGCAACCGAGGCCCTGGGAGCCAGGGCCCTAACCCCTCGGGATATCAGAGGGGGGCTAGGGTGTCTGGGAGAACTGAGGTGGGGACTCTTCCACCCCCTTCCCCCCGAACCAGTCACACCCTAGAGATACCCCCATCACCACCAAAGGTGGGTGCAGCCTTGCCTCCTGCCCGTGGCCATGTGGTCTGCAGCACCCAGCTGGGCATTGTGCGATCGGGCAGAGCACGGCAGGGGTCGAGCCAGAGTGTACAGACTTCTCTCCTGTCCCATTTTACAGATGAAGAAACTGAGGCTCAGCGAGTCACAGAGTGAGCCAGGAGAGCACCCGGGCCCTCCTGACCTCGTCCAGTCTTGCCAAGGAGCCCCATTTTCTGGAAATGCCAATCTCTGGAGCCAGCCCAGTCCTCCAGTGCCCATTCTGGACTCATTGCCTGGAAATCCCACTGTCCCCCTCACCCCCGCCCCTCTAAATCCTGCCAAAAATGGCAACGTACGTGACAGATAAAAATAGTTCAGGTATCCTTGACCCAACAAACTCCTCTCTGAGAACGTGCCCGCTGAAACACCAAAGACTCCAAAGCGTGATTATTGGAGCACTTTCTGTAATAGACCGGAGTATCACACTTGTCTGTCCAAGTACAGTCCAAAGGACATCACTAGCTCAAAGGACACCACTAGCAAGTTGAATCATAAGGGTGATATTCAGAGCGTCTACTGGCTGAAGGCATGGCTCCAGGAGCCTCGTGGCTGCTGACGCTTTAGCTCTCTCAAAGCCATACGGTGGGAAGCAACAGAACTGCTCTCTTACAAAGACACTGAGGCCCCAGCGGATCACACAGTGAGAAGCGCAGGGTGAAGGCCACGCCCGGGCAGCCTGGCTCAGCCTCCTGTCCACCCAGGCCCCGCGGCCACCCCACGGGCACTGTGTTCATGCAGGAGAAGGAAGTGAGTCCCCAGGTGCCACGGTGGCAAGGCGTCCCAGATGTATTGATAAGGAAAGGAAGCAAGTCGCAAAACGATGGTAAAAAAGAACTTGTATCTGCCTGCGTCGTGCTGGGAGGCGGGACCCGCGCCTGGGTGGCAGGGCTTTCACTTCTGTGCCGGCTGCATCTCTTTGGCCTGGATTTTTTGTTAGTAACTTGTAGTCATTCCTTTTGCTATGAAGTGTAAGAATGCGTTTTAGGATGTGTCAAGCTCCTCCATGGCACCTCGGCCAGCAAACAGCCCCGCCATGCCCAGGGGGGTCTCGCTCCCCCGAGCCCTTTGCATTGGCGGGGCCACGGTTGTTTGTGCCATGTCTGTCTCCCCCTAGAGGGCGGCTCGGAACTCCTCGCTCGGGCTTTGTAGGGCCGCACGTGGTGGGGCTCTGCCGTTGGTGGAGGAGGCCTACAGCCGACCTTGCTGCTAGTAATAGTAACCCTTGCCACTGGGAGGCGTGGCCCCAGCAGCTGCCCATGGACTCTGTCTCCTGCCATCCATGCAAGACTCAGAGAGGTCACACCACTGTCCGAGTTCACACAGCTGGGAGAGGTGGAGCCAGGAGCCAAGTCTAGGCTGAGGTCTCCCCCAAACCATGTGGGGTTCTCCTGAGCCAAAACCCCTGCCCACCCTGCCACCAGACGGCCTCTTTGCCAACTCCTGTGTCAGGGATGAGCACATGACCCTGCCCTGGGTTCATCCATCTGTCCATCCAACCATCCCTCATCTATCTACCCATCCTCCACCTTTCCATCTCTGTCTGTCCTTCCATCTATCAGTCCTTCTCTTCTTCCGTCTATCCATCCATCCATCTCTCCATCTATCCACCCTTCCATTCACTGACTCATTTTTTTCACGCATTTACTCATCCAGCCTCGCCAGGGTGCTCACCCTGGGCTGGGCGCTGTGGGCTCAGGGACAAATCCAGTACGACCCTGCCTGCAGAAGCTCACAGCTGGCTGGGGAAACACTTAGACCTGCACAAAGCAGCCTGAACAGTGAGGTGGCATGTTTTCTGTTTCTGCTGTGGAGAAGGCTAAAGTTTGGGCATGTTTGTTCAGGAGACAAAGGGCAGGTGAAACTTGGCTGCAGTGACCAAGAAAACACACCTGTCTCAAATGCCACCTCTTGGGTTGCCCTTTCTAGCACTGTCCCCGCCCCCCACCAACACCCCCTGTCCCCTCCCTACTCTGACTCTCACTGGCACTTACCGCCCTCTGGCAGACTCTTTATTTTGGTTATTTATTGTGTTGGTTTTCTGTCTCCTCCCCTGGAACGTAAGAGCCAGGAAAGGACCTTTGCCTGTGTTTACTGCAGTGGCCCAGTGCCTAGAATGTGGCATGTAGTAGGCGTGCAGCGTTTGTTGCCCAGGTGGGGGGCATGGGTGGGGTGGGCTGTTGTCCAGGGGTGGAGACCATGCAGCTGGGGGCTGTGCACATGGGTAGTGGGAGTGGATCCCAACGTGAACTTCAGAGGGTTGACCTCAGGACTGGGTGCCTCACAGGATGTGGGGTGCAGGGGGAAGGGTGGCCAGGGCAATTCCTGGGCTCTGGCTCAGGTGCCTGGGGCTGGGTGGCACTTACTACATTAGACACTGCCGGAAACATGAGACTAGACAGTTCCCTGTTCTTTCAGTTAGACAACATGCCTCAAGCTCCCTCATCATCCAAGGTTCCGGCCTCTCAAGTGTAACATCTGCAGTTGAACCCAGGTCCCAAATGGATTTGCCCTGCTCAGAACTGTCCTGTTGTCACCTCCCTCCTTCTAGAACCTACGCTCCTACTAATGCAGCCTTAGCGTCTGGCTGGCCACTCCCACAGGGACACACGCGGGGTTTGCCCTGAGTGCTCACAGACGAGAGGCAGGCACTGTCCTCATTTCACGGATGCAGAAACGGAGGTTCAGAGAGGTCAAGGGCTTGCCCAAGGTCTCAGAGCTGGGATTTGAAGGCAGACAGCCTGGCTCCTAACCAGATGCTAGCCTGAACCTCTCTAAAGGCCAGGATGGATATCAGGACTGGCCTTGGAAAGGCTGCCTTTTGCCCTTTGTCCTCTGTCGTGGCAGCGGCCACTGCCAACCTGTGTCCCCCCCTTGCTCCACAAACAGCTGGGCAGGTGGAGGCAGGGCTCCCCCTCTGTCAGCACCAGTCAGTTCAAGGCCAGCCTGCAGATCCTTCTGTCAGAGGACAGGAAATGGGCGGACACATAGCCCCTGCCCCAGGGCCGCCTGGACAGGGCTGCCCAGACGCTGCCATGTCAAAACCTCGCCCCACCGGGTGTGACCCTGGGCAAGTGCACAGCCTCCCTGAGCCTCAGTGACCTCGAAGAGCTGTGTGGGGTCACGTGGGGGCGTGTTGAGCGCACCACTGGGTTGATGGCCATGAACGCAGGGCTCACGGGCATCAGGGCCTGGCCCTCGGCATCAGAGAGGGGCTGGTTGTGCAAGTATCCAGCGATCAACTCTGGCCCTGCTGCTTGCATGGCCCTGGACGAGTCCCTTTTCTGGGCCTCAGTGGCTCCATCTGTAAAATGGGACCATCAGCCCTGCCTCCCTCCTGGGGCTGTGACGAGAACCCCCTGAGCTGGTGAAGGAGTGCTTGGTTAACTAAAGCGGGGTGCAACGGCTGGGGGGGGGGGCGTCACTATTCTTTACAGTGGTTTCCAGTGCCCAGCAGACAGAAGTGGCCTCTTATTGGAGCGGCTTCCCCTCCAGGAGTGCCCCGGTTTGGTTAGAGGCCCCAATCAGCAGCCCCTGGCCCCGTCCTTTTGTTCAGTGAGCCCTGCTCAGAGCTGGGTCCGTGTTGGGCGCTGGGGACTCAGAATGGAGGCAGACCTGGCTGGGGCCCTGGGCGCAGGGAGAGAGGTATGGAAGCGGCAGGGGAAGTGTGGGCCCAGGGTGGTGTGAAGGGCGTGGAGTAGAGGGTGGGCTGCCCGTGACCTCTGTTGGGGCTGCTCACAGAAGGTCTCTGGCCAGCCTCCTGGACGCTTAGTCATCGGTGGCCTGTCGCCCCCAACCCCCTCCCTGCTAACTGGAGCTCCTTGGGGACAGGGCCGGGGTCTTATTTGCCTCGGTGCAGCCTCAGCTCAGATAGTGTTTGTTGAATGAATCAGCGAGGGAGCTTTGAGGGTTCCCTGGGCAGGAGCAATTCCCGGGGAGTCGAGGAGGCCCCAGGACACGGATAAAGTCTGAGCTTGGGCTGGGAGGGATGGGGGCATCACAGCCGCCCCAGGAGCTGTCTGGAAGTGGCCTGGGGCCAGGCCTGCAGGCGGTGCAGACGGTGATCCTGCTTCCTGAGCTTAAGCCTCCCGTGGTCTCTCACACACTTCCCGACACCTGGGTCCTCAGCACACTGGAACAAGTGTCCTTTGGGGTAGTGGGGAGGGAGTCCAGGTGGGCACTGACCTGCCTGCTGCCCAGCACGGCCTCTGTCTTCGGGGCCACTGGTCAGCAGGCTCCGCCCCCCACCGCAGGTATAAGGTCTGAGAGGAGCCAGCGGGGAGCTGTTGAGGCCACCCTGGTGGTGGCACCGTACCTCTCTCAGGCACGCTGGCCTTAGGGCCTTCCCCACCAGCCACGCTGTCCATGGAGTTTGCTGCTGGAGCCATCGGAGGTAACAGTGGGGACAGAGGGGTCTCGGGGGGGAACGCTGCTCCTGGGGCCAGCAGGAGGGGCTGGAGGGGGTGCTCTGCCCGGGCAGCAGTGGGGTTTGAAGCCCCCCGGAAGTGGCCGGCACCTGGTGTGGGCCACAGGTGCTGGGAGGACAGAGCAGTCTTCCCGGAGCCTTGGGGCAGGCGACACAGGGCCCAGGAGGAGCTTTTGGGGGGCTGGCGGGGGGGAGTCTGCACTGGCCTGGGGGGGCTCAGCCTGGGAGGCTGAGGGGCTGCTGGGTGGGAGCAGAGGGTGGTCTCTGCGTGGCCAGAGGGAGCCTGGGAGCTGTAAGCATGGAGTGGGATGGCGGAGTCATGGGAGGGGAGGGGAGGCTCCAGGAGAGGGTGGACAGTCAGGACAGATGGAGCCTGGGTCCTGCCACACTGACTGCAAGGGTGGGCGCGGAAAGGGAGGGTCCCAGCCGAGCCCGGCACCCCCGTCCGCTGGCTGTGTGCACACACAGGGCCAATCCTGGCCTTGCTGACCCCCGGACCGTTTTCACTTTTGGGGAAAGGGCTATTGTGAACGCCCGATCCAGAGATAGCCGGCCCACGGGGAACAGGCTCCTACCAGCATCGATCACACACACAGAGGCTATTTTGGGCGAGGCACCCTTGGCCTTGCTCCTCTTGTGAAACAGCAGCGGCTGCCCGTCAATACTTCTGGGAATGGTGTGGGGTGTTTTCAGAAGAGGAGAGCGGTGCCGAGCCAGGAAAGACCAGGGCCCTGGCCTCATCAGTGGGTTTCCTGAGGTCCCGCTGTGGGCCGGGCCTGAGGCCAGCTGCTTCCCTGGACATTAGCCCCCTAAGGAGGAGGCTCAGAGAAGGGGCTTGACTTGCCCAAGATCACACGGCAGGAAGGGCTCCCGAGTCCTGCATCTTTTCTCCAGAGCCCAGGGAAGCCCTAGGTGGCAAGGGCTCCTGCTGTGTGCCTGGCTCCGGGTCATGGGGATCAGACCTGGGCCTTTTCCTTGAGGAACTCTAGTTCTGGAGTCAGAGACGGCAGGCGGTGGGAGAGCAGCAAAGCCATATGACAGGGGCTGTGACTAACGTGTTTTCTGGCACAGAGGCAGCCCGGAGTATAGGGGTCAGGGAGGGCTCCTGAGAGAAGGTGATGCTATGGCAGGGCTTTGATGGATGAGTAGGAGTTTGGTGAGGTATATGTAAGGGTCAAGGAGGGGTAATTCTACCCAAGTCAGTCAGTCAGTCTTTTGCTTCACTCTCTTTGTTCCTTCACTCATCCATTCATTCATTCAGTTTATTCTTTCATTCATGCGTATTTAGCGAGTCCTGGGATACACAGTAAATAGGGCACATCCCCCACATGCCTTACTGTCCTCAGATGGCCCTCACCCCGCCCCCCCCCCCAACCAGGGATGAAATCCCAGGGACCTGCCCAGTAGCTCTCTGTCTTTCTCATGGCAGTGCTGGGGGCTTGGATGTTGAGACCCTGGTGTCAAGACAGGAGAAAGAGATAGGCGGGTGGCACCTGGCCCTCTTTGCAGGAGGCAGAGGGCCCTGGTCCAGGAAGCCTTGAGTCCTACTCTGTCCCATGCAAACTTGTGCTTCCAGGCAGTTCCTCACAGAGGCCTGGGGTGACCCGGACTTTCCCAGCCCCCAGCCTCTGCTTGGGCTGTGTCCCCCGGCCATCACCCCCAGAGCTGTGAGGTGCAGCTGCCTCCTGGCTTGCAGACAAACCCTTCACAGACTGAGGCTTGAGGGCGAGCTCGGCCTGGCTTGGAGACAGGGCCCAGCAAATTTTGGACCAAGTCTCCCAAAACACACCGCCAGAAGGGAGGCCAAGGAGTGTCCCTGGCTTTCAGAATGAGGCTCCAGTGGGCCAAGACTCGGGAAGGAGAAACCACTAGCAGCCTGGCAGACATCAGTTTACCTCTCTGAGCCTCAGTTTCCTCATCTGTAAAATGGGGGTCACGCTCCCTCACTGATGAGACACGGTGTGGAAGAGAAGAGCCAGGTGTGGCCTTACTCAGCAGGAGCAACGTCAGGGTTCACCCGCCCCCTCTCCCTGGGACGGCTCAGGCTCCCGCTCCTCTCACCGGTTCCTCTGGTTTCCTTCCAGGCGTCTGCGGTGTTGCTGTGGGCTACCCCCTGGACACGGTGAAGGTGCCGTCATCACCAGGCCCCTGCTACCCACCCCAAGGCCCCTGCCTGTGCTTAAGCCCCCCATTCACGGCCAGAAGACCTTTCTAGCCTGCTATTCAGAGCCAGTCGCCCCATGCTCCTCGGGACTGTAGTGCCCCTTTCTCCCGCTGTGCCTCAAATTTCTCATCTTAACTGGGGCTCACTGTCCCTGCTCTGCCCACAGTCAGCAAGGCTGCGACAATCAGGTGTTGGCTCTTCCCCTCCCCCAGGGCCTGCCAACCTTGCCCCTGGCCTGGAGCCACCCCTTCCTGAAGCCCACTTCTCCCACAGGTCAGGATCCAGACAGAGCCCAAGTACACGGGCATCTGGCACTGCGTCCGGGACACGTATCGCCGAGAGCGGGTAGGCCTGGGGAGAGGGTCACGGCAGCAGGATGGGGCCTCGGACCCCAGGGCTGCCACTCACCAACCAGCCTGGCAATACTGAGCTCCTCTCTGAGCCTCAGTTCTCTCACCTTCCAAATAGGAAAAGTTGTACCAACCTCCTGGATTCCTCCGAGAACAAGAGCCAGGGTGTCTGGCACACAGGAGGTGCTCAGAATGAGGTCCTGCCTCCAGAAGAGGGTCTAGAGGGGACATCTGGGGACTTGGAAGGTCTGGGGAGGAACCTGTTTGCATTTCTGTCCCCTCCAGCCTGGGCACCCCTTGAAAGAATGCTGGGTGGAGTCATCAGGGGTCCCAGGGTCCAGCTCGGAGCCCTGTCCAGAGGAGGGTCTCAGGGACACTTACCAAAGTGAACTTGGGAATCAGTGCCGACCAGGGGTGAGCAAAAGAGAAACAGCAACGACCAAGCTGCTAGTTCAATGTCATCGTCACCAAACAGCTGCCCTAGGTCAGGCCTGGCCCCCGCCCTTCAATCCCTCAGCACAACCTCACAAGTCGGGGGTTACAATCCCCATTTTACAGCCAAGGAAACTGAGGCCTGAGGCAGTCTACGTGACTTGCCTGAGGGAGGACGGGGCAGGGGCTCAAGACCCCCTCGGGCAGCCACTCCTCCCAGCTGGGCCTCTGGCCTGACTCGAGCCCTTGGGCCCCCTCCACCTGCCGCCAGGTGTGGGGCTTCTACAGGGGCCTCTCGCTGCCCGTGTGCACCGTGTCCCTAGTGTCGTCCGTGTCTTTCGGCACCTATCGCCACTGCCTTGCACACGTCTGCCGGTTCCGGTATGGCAGCGCCGACACCAAGCCCGCCAAGATGGACATCACGCTCTCCGGATTTGCCTCCGGCCTCGTCCGCGTGAGTGGGGCTGGGTGACGGGGTCCCGGGACCGCAGGGGTGGGGAGAGGCTGGATGGATCCTGGGGGACTGTGGCTGAGGACACAGCTGACTCAGTAACTGAGGGCAGGCTAGGGAGCCTCTCTGAGCTTCTGTCTCTTCATCTGTAAGAGGCATGGTGAGGTCACGCATGTGAAGCCCCCAGCACGGGGTCTGACAGGTATGAGTGAGCACGACATGTAGCCAATGTTATTAGTAAAATTATCCTCTATGTTATCTATTAACTTTATCAATGCTTACATTAAGTGTTACATTATTCTTACACTAAATACATTAATTAAATAATACATTAATATGTCATTAATAGATTAATGATGAGATTAAGCGCTTTCGTGAACTGGAGTCACATTTACCCGACACCTACTGTGTGCCAGGCCGCTCTGCCAGCAGAGAATGTGTAGCTAAAGGAAGCACTGGCTCCGGCTGGGTGGGCGCAGCTGGCTTTGAACCCCGCTCCACCATGGCCCGTGGGCCAGCCCGGAGCTTCCTGGGGCCCAGGCTCCCTGGCGGTCACCACGGGCCACAGGGGCGGAGGGAGGCCAGGGGCAGGGAGTGCGGGCAGCGGGCAGCGCTGCATCCTCATCCCTGTCGGCCCTGCCCCTGCTCCAGGTGTTCCTGACCTCGCCCACCGAGGTGGCCAAGGTCCGCCTGCAGACGCAGGCGCAGAAGCAGACGCAGCAGCGGCGCCCCTCGGCCTTGGGGCCCTCGGCTGCGCCCCCCACGTGCCCTGCGCCCGCTGTGGGTCGGGCGCCAGGGCCCAAGTACCGCGGGCCGCTGCACTGCCTGGCCTCGGTGGCCCGGGAGGAGGGGCTGCGCGGCCTCTACAAGGGCAGCTCGGCCCTGCTTTTCCGGGACGGTCACTCCTTTGCCACCTACTTCCTCTCGTACGCCGTCCTCTGTGAGCAGCTGACTCCTGCTGGCCGCAGCCGGCCAGGTGAGCGGGGGCCGGGGCCTGGGGCAGTGCTGGTGGTGAGGCTCAGCCTGGCGGGAGTTGACGTGGGGGGAGGAGACAGGCTGAGGTCACACTGGCACCCAGTGCCTCCCAGGTGGGAAGCTCACTGCCCTCAACATGAGTCAGGACAGGCCTGCTCTGGGTGGCCCTGGACAGGTCATGTCGGTGGCGAGAGCCCAGGGCTCCCTCATGGCCAGGCCTCGCCCTGGGTGCCCACCAGCTCTCCTCGGGGGCCCCAGTGCGGCTTCCAACCAACGTGCCCATGGGGCCCTCCCCGCAGACGTCTTGGGCGTGCTGGTGGCTGGTGGCTGTGCAGGGGTGCTGGCCTGGGCCGTGGCCACCCCCATGGACGTGATCAAGTCGCGCCTGCAGGCAGATGGGCAGGGCCAGCGCCGCTACCGGGGCCTCCTGCACTGCGTGGTGACCAGCGTTCGGGAGGAGGGGCCAAGGGTGCTCTTCAAGGGGCTGTCGCTCAACTGCTGTCGCGCCTTCCCCGTCAACATGGTGGTCTTTGTCACCTACGAGGCCGTGCTGAGGCTCATGCAGGGCCTGCTCTCATAGCTGGCGCCCATCCCCCGGGTCCAACCTGCCAGCAGCTTCCAGAGGCCGCAGGGGCTGGAGGGGGCGGAGGGGAGTGTCGGGGTCTGGGCCCCATGGGGCCATCCCCCCGACTGACCACGAGGAGGTCAAGGGGCCCAGGGCTGGCCTGAGGGTCACAGGAGCCAGGGAGAAGTGGGCCTCTGGGATGAGGATGCAGCCGCCTGGAGCCGTCTTTGCGTGTGGTCAGTGGCTCGTCCCGGCTCCCCTCCCACCTCGTCCCGCTGCCCCCTCGGCTCCCCACCCTTCTCTCGCCGCTCAGCTCTCCCTGCTGTGCAGTGTGCTCTTCATTCCTGGTTCTCAGACGCAGCCAACTGGTCTCCCCACCAGCCGGAACCCGGGTGCAGCCGCCTGGCACCCGGCGTGCTCGGTCCCCACACCAGGATGCTCAGGGAGGTGTCGCCTGAGCCCGGTCACCCCCCCTCACTCTGCCTGTGGACCCGAGACTCAGCGGCGAGCTGTTGCCAATAAAATGTTTCTCGGGCAGTTCGGTGGTGTTGCTCTGTGGTCTGTGGGGCTGGTGACTGGGTCCCCATCTCCAGCTTGTCCTCAGAGGCCAAGCCCTCGAAACCTGTGTGACCAGGGCTCCCACTGCACCGACGGCACGCTGAGGCCCCGCCAGCTCTCCGGCTGGCCCCGCTCCCTCGGCCTTTGGGGCCGGGGGCCACGCCTGTGCACTGAACCTGCCCCAGGGGGCTGTTCAGCGTTCAGCATGATGCCTGCTCTCCTCACCACCCCCATCCCAAACCCACCCCCTTTCTGAGTGAAACTGATCTCCAGCCAGTTCCAGACACCAGGATGTGAGCTGCCTTTCCATGGGGCCTGGAGGAGGGAGGCTCCGTGTGTCCTCAACACCGCTGGGTCCGTACACAGGTTATCACAATGGCTCAGAGAGGACCGGCCTACCCAAGGCCACCCAGCAGGGAGAATGGGGGTCTCACACCTGCACTTCTGAGGCCCCAGTCCTCTCTCTGGCATCACGTGGCTTCCGGTGACGGTCCAACACGAACCTTCCGGGTGCCCACCACAGCAGCCCTCTGGTAAAGCCAGACAGCACCTGCCTCACTCAGACACTAGTCTTGCCCGTGACTTTGGACTGAAGTCCAGTGTTCACTGGTCCACCTCCAGTGTTCTGGCTGAACACAACTCTTTCCTGTTCCCAGAACACGTGGGTGGACCCTCTCCTCTGGCCTCTGCTGTCGTACGGACCCAAGCATTTGCTTACACCCTGCGCTCCCTGCCAGGGACGCCCTTCCCTCCGCTCTGCCTGGCTAACTCCACGCATCACTAATCCCAGACGTCACTTCCCCCAGGAAGCTCAGCTGCTTTGAGGTGTCTCCTGCTCTGCTCCGTGGGGCCTGGTTTGTGGTCTGGTCACTTACCCACCTCCTGCCCCCCCCGCCCCCGCCGCCCTGAGACGATAAGCCGTGCACGGGCTGCACATGCTTGATGTCAGGGCCTGGCACGCAGCAGGTGCTCAGGGAGTGTGGAATGCATGAATGCATGAGTGAGTGAACGAAGGCCCGCAGTGGATTCCTGGAAGTTCATCGGGCTTGCAGTTAAAGATGCTGGGATGCTTTGGCCAGGTGCTGGGAGAAGGGCGTCTCCTAACAAAAGGTTTCAATATTCGTCAAACCCTGTGTCCACTCTTGGCAAGAAGACGACTAGTGTGTCCTCCTGCTTTGGCCCTGGAAGGAGAGTTACTCCTTCCTCATGGGGAGGGTGGGGACTGTTGGTCACGGAGCACCAGCTCTGCTGTGCTGGGGAAGTGGCTCTGCAGGAAGGCCCGGGCCTCGCTCCGGCTGCAGCCTCTGGGAAGCAGGGCCCTTCGGAGGGCGGATGTGAAGGGACAGGGAAGAGAAGGGCTGGGCCCAGTGTCAGCGGGCCAGAGCTGGGCTCCCCTACTGAATGGGGCCACCCTAACCAAGTCCGGGCTGCACCTGAAGTTTCAAACGGGAGATGAAGGGTGGTCACCCAGGGGCTCCCAGAGCCTGTGCTGACTGGGGGTCATGGGGCCTCCGGGCCGCAACTGCCACAGCCTGCGCAGGGCCTGGCCCAACTCTCCACTGCCGTCAGCGGGCTCCTCAGTGCCCCTCAGATGCAGCTCCACTGGGCTCCCCCAGACTGGGGACAGAGGCGGAGCAAGGTCTGAGGGGTGGACATTAACAGTCACGGGGGCTGGGGACCGACCTCCCACCTCAGCCCCCAAACACCGCCGGGCCGCACACCTGCCCATCCTCATCCAGGGCATCTCTCGGGGAACTTTAAGAATCTGGTGGTTTGCAGCAAAATGTGGCGGGTGGGAGGGTCTGTGGCCCTTACCAGCAGTGACCTTGGGCAAGTCACCTGACCTCTGGCCCAGGGCCCGGCTGACCCAAACATGAGGTGTCAGTGCTCTTGTTTTACGGGGAACGGGGGGTCCCACCCAAAGTCACTGGCCTGTGTGGGGCCTCAGCCCCGCCCTTCTGTGGCCCCAGGATGACACCCACTCCTTCTGGAGGCTCTGGCTGGGTGAAGGGGCGGCTCTGCCACCCCGGGGACGTTGCCGTGGTCCCTCCTGTGACGTGGACACAATGGAGCAGAGAGAGGTTGTCTCAGCTGCCCAGGCCACACAGCCTCACCATCCTCTGGGCTCACCTCCACGGGCCACATCCGGTCCAGTGGGAGCTGAGGCCAGGAGAGGAGACGGGATGAGCTCGTGCCGCACACGGCACCCGGCCACCCAGGTGGAAACCTCAGGGCCCTCACATGTAAAACAGCCTGTGTGAGGAGACAGCACACGAGACAGGATGGGCACGTTTGGTCACAACTCACTGTGTGGCCTCAGACAAGTCACATTCCTCTCCTGAGCCTCAGTTTGCCCACGTGCAGTACAGGGTGGGCGGGCAGAGTGAGCCCAGGGCTCCATTCCGGCTGGGCCCCTGGCCTGGGCCCTGTCGCTACATGGCGCCGCTCTGATGCCCCCGTGCTGTCCGTGAAACAAGGACATCTGCTTGCATTCTCCAGCAGCTGCTGGGAACCTCCAGGGAGGGTGGAAAGCAGCACGGGGAGACCGCTGAGCGCCAGGAAGGCGCCGCTTCCAGCTGCTTCCCGAAGCCTGCACCTCCACACCGTGGGGCTCCCGGGACCGCGCTTCCATCCCACACGCATCCCGGTATGACCCGTGCAGGAGCAAGATCATCCACAGAGGATCAGGCGCGGCACGGCCCTGGGCTGGAGCGAGGCCTCTGCTCACCCCTCAAACCCCAGACGGAGCACAGTGACACAGGCGGGACCAAAGGAAGTTTATCTGTCACGAGTGAGACCAGAGCGGGGCACCCAGGAGTGGACCCAGCACCTCCAGCCAGGGCAGGCTCTTGGACCCAGGGCTTCCCCAAGACAGGCCATTGCTTTTCCGAAACTACACAGGGCGCTTGGTTAAACGGGCCTCCCATGGACACACAGCCGCGGGCACGCTGCCTAGCTGTGCCCACCCGTCTGGGGCACAGGCAGGGCACTGCTCTGTGCAGACAGACTTCCATGCCAGTCAAGTGTCAAAACAAAAGCACCTGCAAAGGCAACAGACTCCCCTCAGCGTCTGGCACCATCAGAGTAAAGCAGCCATCAGTTCTCAGGATGGAGTGTCTAGGATTACTTGGTGCAAACAAAATATTAGTACGTTCAGGGAAAACAGCATGATTTCTGGAGTACAGTACATGCACGGTCTGGAGTCTAGCACGCAAACTGGGAAGTTTCACCCACAAAAGACTCAATTTAGTAAAAACTGGCCCACTCTGGCCAATATTCAGAAACGTTCAAGGCCGCTTCCAAGCTGAGAGGTCTCTTGGTTAAATGTTTAGCAAAGCTCTTGGCCAGCACTTCTTTTTGGTTTTATGATAATAACATCTTGATTCCAGGTTTGCATACACAGACTACATATTCTTTGATAGAGCACGTTTAAGAGTATGTTTGGATGTAGGATGCTTTCAAACAGGAGCTGTCCTGTGGACCAGAACAGGCTGGCCAGTGGACATCCAGCCCAAGGCTGCACATCCTTTGGGCTGCTTTGTGGGAGTGGCTCCAGCTAGAGTTGTCTGTGTGACCACTCAGTGTTACCCGGCACCCAATCACCCCACAGGGTTATGCTCACAGGAGACAGGGAATGACATTCAGCAGAAGAAACAGCATTGATACACACAGAGGGCTTATAGACGCCAGGCCAGTAATTACCGTGTGACACAGCCTAAAGGAAGTGGTGATTCGACTGGGCTGGGATTCTTGGTAAATTACATCTCAGTAAATATATAGAAAGTGAGCGTTACTCAAAGTCGTAGGACAGCTTCCGGGGAGTCATGAACTCTTTCACTATCTCGTCTGTGACCTCCTTGCGCCGGGCCTGGTGCTCAGCGATCAAGGGCTGCAGAACTTCTATGAGCTCCTTCTTGAGCTCGCCGGTGAGCATGGCCCCGCTGGTATAATCCTGCCCGGGAGGAGACAGGCCATGTGAGAAACGGCTGCGCATGCCCTGGGTACCTCCCTTGCCCGGGCGCCACCCATGCAGAGCCTGGCACACGGGCAGCATAGAAAAATGAGAACCTTAAACCACGCCTTTCTTAAAATGACTCTGGGCCCTGGTGAGCAGCCGCGACTCAGGCTGGCACAGCGAGGGGAACAACGGTGTCCGCCCCCCCACCTCGCCCACCCTCCTGTGGGGTCGGGGGACTCCAAGCCCTGAGCCCGTGGCTGCCCCCTTCAGCCTTACTGCCTTCTCTAAAATCTCTGCCAAATCTTTTTTCATTTTCTGATTGTGATGGTAACATGTACTTACTGAACAAACTTAATAAGGTACCGAAACCACAAAGCAGCAGCAAAGTAAAGAAAAAAAACCCCTGCGAAGCCAGTGCGCAGAGGCTAAGGGCCACTGCTACTATCCCGGCATGTCGCCTTTTAGATTTTTTCTGGTGTGTTGTATTTAAACATAGTGGATCTCACTGCACGTCCAATTTGGTGTCCTTTTATCACTATCACTGGCGTATTCTCCCGTGTGATCATAAACCTCACACCTGTGTAATAATCCCTCCTGACAATTCTCAGTTAAGGTTTCCTCTGCTGTACAGTCTCTTCTGAACTTTTTGCTACTATCATTTTTACCGTCTTTGCATAGCTCTTTCTTATTCAGGATTAGTTTCTTGGAAAAGATGCCAAGAATTGGAAAACCTGAAGCAGGAGCTATGAACATTCTTCGGGCTCTTTGGCTCGCTGAGAGGCACACAGGGAACGCTCGACTCACCCGGGTGAGCCCCAAAGTGTCTGGATTACAATCAGGGCAAATACGGCACAAACCCGCTAAATCGGTAGTGGAATTGTTTCAACATTGAAGGTATCTTGATTTCACTTCTATTTCTCGATGACTAGTGGGATTAAACCTCTCTGTGTGGCTACTCACTAGCGGTTTGTATTTTCTCTTTTGGGAACTATCTGTTCATGAGGTTTCTGGGCACGTGGTC